AAAACATAAAACTTCCTTCAGAATGACATAGTCCTTTCAGTACAAAGGCAGCTGTATAATACACTGAGTTTGGATAAGTCACCTCTTTTATCGTGACATTTAACACTTTAAGGGAACAAAAACCCAAGTGGTGTTCCTCTATGAAACAGTAGACAAAATTCAGCAAAAGGAAAAAAGAAAAAAACTGTAAAACCACTGTGAAAAACTAACAGCCTGAAAGCTTTCAAAATTCTGTCCCTCCTCGAGCTCATCTCCTAGGCATTCGGTCATTTTCAGTCTTTCCGCCTTTCCACTCTGTGTCCGGAGCTTCCGGGAGAGGCTTGTGCTGTCACCTGTCTCTACTTTCCTTCTCCCTTACAGTCTCACTGGGATCATGTCACCTTTAAAAACTTCAGCTATTTTCCACCTACAGAAGGTTTGTATTTTCATTCGAAAGGTTTTATTTCAGTTTAAGATCTCCTTTTTGTGGAACTTTAATAGGAAATTTCATTCCCATTTTTAGGTCTGACTAACCAAAGTCTATTACTGCAAACGTGTACAAGGCGGCACCCCAGGTTCCTGTAATGCATTAATCATTATAATTTCCCTATTTTCTGAAAACCTTTCGAAATCCTATACTGTAACACTCTGCCACTGAAAGTAATATATATTAGTCTTTTATGGGAAAAGGGCCATTCTAACTCTTAACTTGTGTTATTATTCTATAATATAAGCTTTCCTGAATGACTCGATTTTCATAGATAACAATTTTTTAAAACATACATCTATATCCTACCTTTCTTGCATAAATGATTAAGAAGAGATTACAAAGAAAAACACAAGAAGATAACATAAATTCTAGTGCAAGTATAAAACCAGGATAGGGCCATAAGATGAAACCTAAAAGTAAGGCCAAAAAGTGCAAACTACTTATATGCATGCTTAGTGCCCCTAATTTATTTCAAAAATATAGGGCCAAACGTATTGAAGTGGCTATTGCCATAATACAAAATAATTTTGGATAAAAGTAATGTTTATCTTTCATACAACACCCATGTTGAAAGAGTATTCTCTCTAGACAAAAAAATATATACAATAGACTACACACACACACACACAACCTACATACATACAAAACTACATGCATATACACATGTATATGTGTATGGGCATTTAGGTATATATAGGTGTGTGTGTGGACATATATATTACTTATTAACATATATATTAATATATTTTATATACGTTACCACCCACACTGACAGACAAACTAACAACATGAAAACCGTAGAAAATATTTTTTTGGTACAGACACCCCAAAGTAACTTTCCAGTCCCCAAGTACTTTATTAACATATTAGCTCACATGAGAATTAGATAGGATTCTGAGAGAAATTTTGATGTACACAGTGTTATAAATGGCTGAAGATTAGCACAAGAAACTACCTAAGGCTTCCACATTACATCATGCCAAACACTGAAATGTTCAACTACAAGGAACATGAAACAACATCAAAATACTTGGAAAGAAAGTACTTAGAAACGGCCATTGGAACATACTTGAGGGGACACTGAAAAAAATTAGCTAAGAGTGCATTAGTGCAGATACAAGATTAACAAATTCTGAACCAAAAATGTGATAATGGCTGAAAGGACAAATTTAATAGCAATAGTCAAAATCCAAATCAGGATGTTTTTTCAAAGTATGCAAAATTTATTTAAATTCATAGAGTTTATTTGGTTGTGTTGGCTCTCAACTGACACTCAATAATTATTTATCATGTGGATACAGACCCAAGTTTTGGCTACCCAGGATCTGAACCCTCTTCCTATGTTTGGGAAATTTTCCGTTTTAGGCATCATGAGAGTAAGAGAGGAGCAGAGTCCATTTCCCAAAACAAAACAAAAACACATCAGGTTTTCTTTTTGTCTCTGCCCTTTGCTCAAGAAATAAATGTCCACTGCATACCTCACCCCCATACATGACACTAGCTGATCAACTCATATTCTTCCTATAAGACCTGGCGTTCTCTGTTCTCAAATGCTGTCCACTATCTTTATTTCTGTATTTACAACAATTTGTTATAACTATGCACGTGTCCGTCTCTCACAATGGACAGTGGGCTGCCTAAAGGCAGAGGCTGTGTTTTATCCATGTTTAGAGCTTCAATATCTAGTATAAAGCTCAGCACATGAATGTCTGAGAAATGGATAAGTAATAAAGAAATGAAAGAGCTTTGAAGGCTGGAAGGTACCATCTGATACCACTGATTCAAATTCCTGGAGACATTTTCCATCCCAGGTTTGTTCCTTTTCTTTCCTTTGCTTTGCGTTAATTTCTACGGACAAAGCTACCACCTATAGCTTCCAATCAGGATTTCAAATCCTTATGAAAATCCACATGGAATAGGACACGATGTCATAGCTTCTCCGTGAACTAAACACATACCCTTTTGAGGTTTCCTAAGGGCCTTTCTCTGCTGAAAACAATCTGGAAAACAGGCATGAACTGAAAACCACCAGCAAGGGATAAATTATAAAGTTTCAAAAAGCATAAATTACTGCTTCTGGGTGTGAGTCCTCCCTTCTAATGCTCTCATGTGCCCTCAACTTCAGCTACTGGTAAAGTTGCCAGTCGGAACGTCTTATAAAATAACAACAAACAACAGGGATTAATATATATTGATAACTATCATGTGGCAGGCAATGCAGTGAGGGCCTCGAAGGCATTATCTCACCCAAGCTCCTCAACAACCCTAACCAGTAGGCTATGTTATCATCCTGAATTTACAGATGAAAAAGCTTAAGGAGATGACGCAACTTAAACAGGAACACAATCTGACAAGGGGCAGTCAGCATTTGAACCCGGGTGTGTCTCAGTACAACACCTGAGCAATTTGCTACACTGTGCCGGCGTTATAAACTGAAAACATCCGATATGAAGCTGAAAAATCAAGGTAAAGGAAACACAGAAGAATGCATGCTTGTGCTGGTGGGGAAAGTGATCCGGATAATGGCTGTAAGACAAGCACCACAAGGGAGTGTGTGTGTGTGTGTGTGTGTCTGTCGGTGAGTATACTGGCATACTCTGGGAAATAAACTCCAAGAAATCAGCTGTAGTTCCAGACTGTCACCAAAACAGTACTCGTCGACAGACACGATACCACTGTTCCCCACACTTGGAGTGCTTTTACGGCCCCAATCCAGACTAAAAGAATATAGGGAGGGGCCTGGTCATCCGTATTTTAACAAGGTTCTGCCCTCCCACACGTGATTCTTCTCAGGCAAGTCTGGGAACTAAATCACCCTAAAATTCCTCTTGTCGCTAATATATCTTTCATTTTCTTTCAAAATAATCCATATTCTGCACTGGTAAAAAAAAAAAAAAAAAATCCACCATACTCTCAGACAATTAGGTAACAAGGCAAAGACAAAGAAGACACAAACATGCCTACTGCCTTAGACTCCCAGTAGGAGACAGCAAAACTTTTCCCTCTTTTCCAGTACTGATTTCTTATTGCTTATATCTAGAGGAAAAGAAGACATTTAAAATGGGGGAAGGGGGTGGAGACACATTTCACAGTGGCCTAACTCTGGAATACACTGTAAAATGATGAGATTTGGAAAGGACAGCATTTGGTGACAGATTTTTTAATCAAAATCAAAACCACTTAAACTTTGTGAGTTGAGATATCTGATCATTTGAAAGGATACTGAGCAACAATTTTCTTTCTCAATTAAAAAAACAGAGAGAGGGCGCCTGGGTGGCTCAGTTGGTTAAGCGACTGCCTTCGGCTCAGGTCATGATCCTGGAGTCCCAGGATCGAGTCCCGCATCGGGCTCCCTGCT